AAAGCACGCACAATAATAAGCAGAGAGTTGGCCCAACATCCCAGTGTAGCAACAGCCTCCTGCGAACGAGTGCCGAGAGTCGGTGAGGCCGGCCCTGTCGTATTTTTTTTTAGGATCATAAGACGCACTCTTTCTCCCTGAATGTTTAAGTACGAGTCGGAGGTGCGTCTTATACTCCGGGTAGGCGTACACAGGGCAAAGTCTTATTTTCCAGAGCGTCTTGTATGTCTGTTGAACAGGTCAGCTGTGGTGCGGAGGCTATGTCAAGCGGCAATGAATCTGACCACGCCAGTTCGACTCCCAGCCACGGCTAACGTCAGCGGCGAACAACGTCTGAACCGGCCTTGATTCTTTCCCACGACCTTCCAATACCCCCCCCGCCCACAATGACCAGCGTGGTGAAGTATGGTCAAACGAACCGACACGTGCAGCGGGGAAAGGAGGTCTTCATCTAACAGTGGATTGACAAAGGACTGTAATTTTACCATCATTATTATCGTCATCATTAACGGCTCAACAAATATAATAATACATTCTAAATATAAATAAGGAACTGTTGCGCGACATTCCTGGTGAGCCTGCGTGGTCGAGCAGAGCATTAGCGGTCAGTCTTCCCACGTCCACACGTCTCGTTGAGCTCTTGGGTCTTGTGTGTACATACTCTACAAGTCTACGTGATACGTGTGTCACGGAACAAAGACAAAGATCCCCCGTGTAGCCTTACCAGACTTTTGGGGCAAGTGCTGTTAAGGAGCACCTATGAAGGCAGGCACCGCACACGAGGGGGTAGGTGGCCAACACCACGCCCGGCCGCCTTTGTCTCCCAAGTAGCGATGTTTACACACCGCACCAGGTATTCATTTGAAGTTGAGTCTACCTAGGGGAGGCTCAGGACCGGTTCAGACCTAGGGGAGGCCCAGTACCGGTTCAGATAATCCGTCACTGATTTTGGCCGTGAGCGGGAATCGAACTCGGGACGCCAGGTTCCTAGCGCAGCTACACTACCGCTCACCACAATGATAAAACACACACAGACACAACGACAACCGCCATTCGTCACTAAGTGGCGGTGACGTCACCACGACGCTTGAGCCAGGCTATGTGCACCTTGAGGCCACGTGAAGTGTCGAACGCCCGCTGGCAGGAGGTCACGGGCAGACCCAGGTGCCACAGATCGACTGACTGAGACGCCTGAGATGACTGGCTGATGCACCACCTGTGCCCCCAACTCTGCCAACTTGCTGTGCTTTAGCCACCTGGCGCTCTGCTCGTTGTTGTGAGCGTCGCTCCTCCGCCCTCCGTTGTTGTTGGTGGAAGACTGCCTCCAACTGCCCAGTAGCAGCGTCCTTCATGAGCCTCCTCCACACGCTACACTACCGCTACCGCATACATACACACATACACACATACAGCAACCGCCACTTACCACTGTGGAAATGTCTGGCTGTAACGTCACCACGGCCCTTTTATGCCAGGCTATGTGCACCATGAAAATGCCACGTGAAGTGACAAGCCTCGCTGCTAGCAGGATGGTGAGCGGACAGACCCGCCAGGTTTGCTACGGGTTAACTGATCGAGATATATAAATTGACCAAAACATACTAATTAACCGAGATTTAAACTAAAATATATATTATTTTTATTTCACTAGGTAAGGCTTACTGAGCTATGTAGTTCTTTTTCCGAAGCGACCTGGCCACAAACAATAGCTTAACGAAGTGTTTCATCGCGTGGGCTCTGAACAGGTGATGTTGATTTTAAATTTGGAGGAACAAAACCGGAGGACCCGAATAAGCATATCAGCGACCACAGGGAGAACACGCAAACTCCAAATATATGGGTGTCAGAGTCGGGATCGAGCCCTAGACCTCTTTCATACCAGGCGAGGGAGTTAACATCTTGTGCCCCACACACACACACACATGTATATTCACTGACCGAGATATATCGGACTGGCACGCGACTTGTGGAAGCAGCAAGACACGGGCAGTAACAAGAAGACTCACTGAGATGACTGACAGATGCACCACGTGTGCTCCCCCGCACTGTGTCGCCTCGATGGGTTGTCACCGCCCGCTTGATCCGCTCGTTGTTGTGAGCGTTGCGACTGCGCCCTCCGTTGTTGCTGGAGGGCGACTGCCTCCCCCGTTTGTTTAAAAAACACAAGTGATGTTTTCTCGCACATCGCTCATACGAGTCCTGCCATCGTAATAGGGCATATTCACGTATTGAAGGATGTCTGGATTCATCATCATCACCGCCATCATCATCATCATTGTACGGGTCTGTTGATTGAATGATAAATATATTTTTTCAAATCACCTTCACACAAATATTGAAACATCACAATAGTCTCGTCAATAAAATCGTGGCTTAAAGAAAAAAAATGTATCTTTAAAGAAATATATATATATACCCGTCATGTGTTGAGCTTATTTTCGTTGACTGTGCTTGTGCACCACTGCCAAAGCAGTAGCATCACGAAATAATTAGTTTAATTGTACAACTATTTACACGTATAAGGATTTGTTTTATATCGTTGTATCACCATGGTTACATGTATATACGCGGGAATCGCCGGATTCGTAGCGCAGCGCGCTAACCGCTGCGCGCTAACCGCTGCGCCACCGCTCCTCCCCTCCACTATAAATACACACATACTCAGTATGTCTATAAATACATTACAGACCCCCCCTCGCCCCCCAACTTCTGGTCGACGTGTTTATACGGGGCGCGCGTCGGCGCGCTAATAGAATCAGCTCGTTCGGAGTGGGGGGGGCGCCTCTGAGCTTTGAGCTCTTAATCTTTGGTTGTATTCGGTAAAGTCACGTAGGTAAAAAATAAAACAACAAAAATCACTTTGAGCTCTTGCGCTCTGCGCTCTGTCACGGGCGGCTCACACTGAGTGTCGCGGGCACTCCCTGGGCCTCCCGGGCACTCCCTGGGACCCGCGGGCACTGCATGGGCCCCCCGGGCACTCCCTGGGCCCTCCGGGCACTGCCTGGACCCCGCGGGCACTCTCTGGGCCCCCCGGGCACTCCCTGGGCCCCGCGGGCACTGCCTGGGCCCCGCGGGCACTCCCTGGGCCCCCCGGGCACTCCCTGGGCCCTCCGGGCACTGCCTGGACCCCGCGGGCACTCTCTGGGCCCCCCGGGCACTGCCTGGGCCCCGCGGGCACTCGCTGGGCCACTTGGCCCTCACGGTAACGGCGGCCGCCGGTTCGGTCCCGCGACGCGAGAGGCTTGTGTGCCCGCAACCCCCAAACCCGGTCCTCCGACTTATCACGGCATTAAAATATAAAAAAAGCCCCTTGGAGAAGTAAACTGGGGGGGGGGGTGTAGTGTGGCCCAAATACGCGTGCCTCTCTCGTGTAAAGCTGTGTGCAATGTGTGTGTGTGTGTAGTGGGGAGCGGTGGCGTCGCGGTCAGCGTGCTGCGCTACCGAACCCGGCGACCCGGGTTCGATTCCCGCTCACGGCCAACACCACACTGACGATTGTCTGAACCGGTCCTGGGCCTCCCCTCGGTCGACTCAACCTCAAATGAGTACCTGGTGCGGTGTGTAAGCATCGCCGGTGGGGAGACAAAGGCGGCCGTGCGTTGGTGCTGGCCACCCACCCCTTCGTACGCAGTGGCGGACTTCATAGGTGCTACTCGCTAGCAATACCGACCCCAGCAGCTTGTGTCGGCTGACTTTAAGCACGGCGTGGAACAAATAACAGAGTACTCGCATTCGATATGACCAGGCTCGCTTCCGGCTACGATCAAACAAGGGTCTTCAGTGCTAACCCCACACATAGCTGGATGTGAATGAACAGCCACTGTCAAACAGCTCTGTGTTGCATGTGGGAGGTGGGGGTCTAATCCACGTGTTTGGAAGCGTGTGCCCTGTTACGTTTGTTCAACGTTGCACCAATATATATTATTTGTTTTAACCTAAGCAAGAGTATAGATCTAGAGTTGGTAGAAGTAGAACTTCGTCCCTTCATCAGTCTTCGGATGTCCAGACCAATATTTGTTATGAAGCTGTTCCTTTTTTTTTTAAACAGGCAAACACTGGATGTGGTTTCGCCATTCCAGTGTTCATCAGCAGAGTCTGGCTGCTGCTGCTGCTGCTGCTTCTGCTGCTGGAACCGGTCCAGGGTTCGCTTTGCTCGAACAAGAACTGCCGGTCACCGTCTCCACGAGGGGACCCCCCTTGCGACGCGAACAGCGACCCAGAGAGGGAATTGAACCCAAACTCGATGGGTTTGACGCCGCCGATGCTGCGGCTGCGTTGGCGGTGGGTCACGAGCACAATTATAACAACACAAAACTCAAACGGATCAACGCGTTTGGCAACAATAACACCGTGACAATAACAGTACACTAGGCCAACGTTTCGGGCAATGACCCTTCTTCTTAGTATATATATACATACAGATAGGACAGAGACAGAGTGGATTATAATCAGAGACTTCACCCGTACACTCCCGAAAGGGAATGAGATGGGTGACGGTGGGGTGAGGAGATGAGCGGCCTGCGTGGAAGGGGGGGGGGAGGGAGGGGTTGATGGGGGGGGGCTAATACCCCCCCTCCCCATCTACACCCCCCCCCATGTACATATTGGTTTGAGCAAAGCAACACCCCCCCCCATCCCCTCCACCGTGTCACCCCTTTGATCAGCAGCAACAACAACAACACGATCCGAACTCACCCGCACGTAGGATCGAAGCATTGCGGTGAGCAGCAGCCGCCAGGAGGAGGCGGAGGAGCGGTGGCGGATTGAGAGGGGGGCGGGCAGGCGGCGGCGGTGGGAGGAGGAGGGGGGTGGCCGATTTTCTGTCGGCATGGTTGGTTGGTCTGGGCCGCGCGTGGTTGGGTGAGAGGTGGTGATGGTGGTGGTGTGTGTGTGCGCTGTTGGACAGGGTGAGGCCTGTGCGATGTGAGAGGGAGGGAGGGAGGAAGAGGGGTGAGAGGGGAGGCAGCGAGGCAGGGAGGGAGGGAGGGAATGCAGGCGACGTGGTGGTGTTGGTGGTGGTGAGGGCGTCCGTCGGCCCACGTCGCTGCCTCGGGCACAAGGCGCGAGCGGGAGCGAGAGGGCCACGCGAGAGAGAAGCGCACGGTCCCTGCAGTGGGGACGACGCGAGCGAGGAACCGCGCGGGACCCGTCCTCGATCCGTCCGCACGGAGACAACCCCGCGCGCACTCGTCCATCGATACATCCATCTTTAAGGGTCCGTAGTATCATCATCATCATCCTCATCGTCCTCGTCGTCCTCACACGGATCGCGTGCATCTTCTCGTCTCTTGCTGGAGCCGCGCGCAATTTTATTTTTTAACTTTTTGTAGCCCAGCCCGTGCGTGGGAGAAGAAGGAGCCGCGGTGGGCGGACAAAACTCGCGACGCAAGCGATGAGACAGAGAGGGACAACACCGACAACAACAACAACACCGACAACAACACCGACAACAACAACAACAGCACCGACAACAACGTCGACTCCGTGCCCACTGATTGTTTTGGTTTGGAGCAATTAGGCGGCTCGTACGCACGTCTCCTAATTAGAAGACGTCACAGGCTTGGAATTTGAAGGCAGTGCGCGCGACGGATCCGACGCTTCAATCCACCACCACCACCACCACCAACCCCCACCGCCGCTGCCGCCCAGAACTTGGAAGATTCCCCCACACGAGCAATTCTGCGGCCATCCTGTAATTAGAAGACAATATTCCTCGCGGCATGATTTTCTTTTTGTTGTGGTTTATTGTTTGTTGAAGATGATAGGGAGCCATCAACGCCGTCGTCTAAGCCGACTGACTCCTGCCAATTTAGAAGGCGCTGTTCAGGTTGGTGTTGCTTCGTGATTCACGCGTGAAGTTGCAAGGACCGCGCCGTGGAAACACTCTCCCCTACTCCTGCAGTCACGAGGACATCGCACCCGCGATCGAAAACACGCGCCCGTCAATTGCAGTGAAGACGCTGTTCCTTGCCACTTAGGAGTATTCAATTAAGGAGACGTTGTTTATCATTGGTGTTACTGCTACTACTAGACCCATCGCGATCTGGCCGTACCGATACCGCATTGGACCCGACCGTCGCGAGCAACGGAGGCGATCGATTGAAAAGTCTCCCCGGCGCCAGAGTGGGGGAGCGAAGTTGCGAGCGGTGGTTGAGTCGCAAGCCTTTGTCGTGGGGGGGGGGCACAGAGAGAGAAGCTGAGCTCTGCGTGGGAGGGGGAGCGCCTCTCTCTCTCTCTCTCCTCCCCGCACACCTCGCGCCGCCAGTGGCTGAGTGGCTGAGCGGAGTAATGAGTTGTCTCGATGTGATGTACCACGCGTACGGGCCGCCTGCCCGCGCCTACCTCAGCGCAGCATCGGCCGCCTACTCATCGTACCCCCACGCCACGCAGGTAGGAAGCGTCACTCACGTGCGTGTGTGTGTGTGTCTCTGTGTGTCTGTGTGAGTGTGTGTGAGTGTGTCTCTGTGTGTGTGTGAGTGTGTGTGTGTGCCTGTGTGTGTGTCTGTGTGAGTGTGTGTGTGTCTGTGTGTCTGTGTGTGTGTGTCTGTGTGTGTGTGTCTGTGTGTGTGTGTCTGTGTGAGTGTGTGTATGTGTGTGAGTGTGTGTGTGTCTGTGTGTGTGTGTGAGTGTGTCTGTGTGTGTGTGTCTGTGTGTGTGTGCGTCTGTTACATATTTCACTTTAATTCGTGGTTTTGTGGTAATTAATTGAAGGTGGAGGGGTTACCAGCCCCTCGCACCCGTCCAGAGCCCCCGTTTAGCCCCTGTGGTGGACACATATGCCATGAGGGGAGGAGCCAATCAAAATTGGAACTCCCCCCACAGCACTGTCCACGACAGAGTTGCCCGTCCGGCACCGCGAGGAGGTAGTCAGTCGACCCGTGGCACCTGGGTCTGCCCCGTGACCTCCTGCCAGCGGGCGTTCGACACTTCACGTGGCCTCAGGGTGCACATAGCCTGGCACAAGCGTCGTGGTGACGTCACCGCCACTTAGTGGCGAATGGCGGTTGTTGTTGTTGTTGTGTGCGTCTGTGTGAGTGTGTGTGTCTGTGTGAGTGTGTGTGTATGTCTGTGTGTGAGTGTGTCTGTGTGAGTGTGTGTCTGTGTGTGTGTCTGTGTGTGTGTGTGTCTGTGTGTGTGTGTGTCTGTGTGAGTGTGTGTCTGTGTGTCTGTGTGTGTGAGTGTGTGTGTGTCTGTGTGAGTGTGTGTGTGTGTCTGTGTGTGTGAGTGTGTGTGTGTCTGTGTGTGTGTCTGTGTGTGTCTGTCTGTGTGTCCGTGTGTGTCTGTGTGAGTGTGTGTGTATGTCTGTGTGTGTGTCTCTGTGTGTGTCTGTGTGTGTGTGTCTGTGTGAGTGTGTGTGAGTGTGTGTGTGTGAGTGTGTCTGTGTGAGTGTGTGTCTGTGTGTGTGTCTGTGTGTGTGTGTGTGTGTCTGTGTGTGTGTCTGTGTGAGTGTGTGTCTGTGTGTGTGTCTGTGTGTGTGAGTGTGTGTGTGTGTCTGTGTGAGTGTGTGTGTCTGTGTGAGTGTGTGTCTGTGTGAGTGTGTGTGTGCGTGTCTGTGTGTCTGTGTGAGTGTGTGTGTCTGTGTGAGTGTGTGTCTGTGTGTCTGTGTGAGTGTGTGTGTGTGTGTCTGTGTGGGTGTGTGTGTGTGTGTCTGTGTGTGTGAGTATGTGTGTGTCTGTGTGAGTGTGTGTGCGTGTCTGTGTGTCTGTGTGAGTGTGTGTCTGTGTGAGTGTGCGTGTCTGTGTGAGTGTGTGTGTCTGTGTGAGTGTGTGTGCGTGTCTGTGTGTCTGTGTGAGTATGTGTGTGCGTGTGTGTGTCTGTGTGTGTGTGTGTCTGTGTGTGTGTGTCTGTGTGAGTGTGTGAGTGTGTGTGCGTGTCTGTGTGTCTGTGTGAGTGTGTGTGTTTGCGTGTCTGTGTGTCTGTGTGAGTGTATGTGCGTGTCTGTGTGTCTGTGTGAGCGTGTCTGTGCGTGTCTGTGTGAGTGTGTGTCTGCGTGTGTGTGCGTGTGTGTGTCTGTGTAAGTGTGTGTGTCTGTGTGTCTGTGGTAAGTGTGTGTGTGCGTGTGTGTGTCTGTGTGAGTGTGTGTGTGCGTGTGTGTTTCTGTGTGAGTGTGTGTGCGTGTGTGTGTCTGTGTGAGTGTGTGTCTGTGTGAGTGTGTGTGTGCGTGTGTGTGTCTGTGTGAGTGTGTGTGCGTGTGTGTGTCTGTGGTAAGTGTGTGTGGGAGCGGTAGTGCAACGGTTAGCGCGCTGCGCTTCGAACCCATTGCGATCCGTGGTCGATTTTCGCTCACGGCCACCAACACCCAGTGACGATTATTTCCACCGGTCTTGGACCTCCGCTAGGTCGACTCAGCCTCAAATAAGTACCTGATTCGGTGTGTAAACATCGCCACTGGTGAGACAAAGGCGGCCGCGCGTGGTGCTGACCACCCACCCCCCATCGTGCGCTGTGCCAGCATTCAAAGGTGTTCGCTAACAGCACTTGCCCCTACAGTCTGCTCAAGCTATACGTGGGATCTTTGTCTTTGAACGGGTGTGCACATGTATTGTAGGGAGCGGTGACGCAGTGGTTAGTGCGCCGTGCAATGACCCAAGTTCAATTTCCGCTCAAGGCCACCAACATCAGTGACGAGTATTTGAACCGGTCTTGGGCCTCCCCTAGGTCAACTCGGCCTCAATTGAGAACCTGTTGCGCTGTGTAAACATCAGCACTGGGAAGACAAAGGCGGCCCGGTGTGGTACTGGTCACCCAGCCCTTCGTGTTGCGTGCCAGCCTTGCTCGCAGCACTTGCCCCAAGCGGCCAGCAACAAACAGCACCCTCACAGTTGCGATGAATAACAGTTAATAGCCAGGTTATTTGTGATAAGAGCTTGGCAGATGACGGGTGAGTGAGTTTGTTAATTAGTGAGTGGGTTAATTTCTAGGTGATTTAGTGAGTGGGTGAGTTAGTGGACGAGTCAGTGAGTGAGTGGGTGAGTGAGTTTAATTAGTGAGTGGGTGAGTTAGTGGGTGAGTGAGTGGGTGAGTGAGTGGATGGGAGGGTGAGTTATTTCATTAGTGAGTGGGTTAATTGGTGAGCGATTGGGTGAGTGCGTTCGTGAGTAGGTGAGTAAGTGGGTAAGCAAGTGGGTCAGTGGATGAGTGAGGAAGTGACTGAGTGGGTGAGTGAGGGTGTGAGTGAGTTAGTTTATTACTGAGTGGGTGAATTGTTGAGTGAGTTAGTGGGTGAGTGAGTGGGCGAGTTAGTGAGTGAGTAAGTGGATGAGGAAGTGGGTGAGTGAGGTAGTGACTGAGGGTGTGAGTGAGTGGGTGAGTTAGTTAATTAGTGAGTGGGTGAATTGGTGGGTGAGTTAGTGAGTGAGTGGTTGAGTGAGTTTTTAAATAGTGAGTGGGTGAGTGAGCTCGTGAGTAGGTGAGTAAGTGGGTGAGTGAGTGGGTGAGCGTGTGCGTGAATGAGTGAGTGAGTTAGTGGGTGAGTTCGTGATTGAGTGAGTTGGTGAGCGAGTGCGTGAGCGTGTTGTTATGACCTGCAGTGTCGATAAAAGTCTCACCAATTCAGCGTCTGGCAAAAGACCGAATCCTCGCCGTGGATGTAGGAGGAATCAACGAGCGAAGTTCCTGGGAACGGTAGCCACAGCAGCAGCAGCAGTAGTTGCAATAGAAGAGTGATAGGGAGGTGACTGCCGGCCGATGAGTGAGCGAGCGAGCGAGTGAGCGGATCATCACTCACGCTGCTGTTGCACCCTGATGTCTATTAAGTGCAGCAGTGATGTAGCAACTTCGCTCTTCACCCAGTGAATATAAAAAGAGTACACGCACAAGTACACGGCCAGGCGCGTTGTCAATCCACTGCTTGATGATGGACTCCCATCTCGAGTTCTTCATGAGAAGGTCATCATCATCATCACCATAATCATCATCATCAGCAGCAGCCATGGTCACGTTTCAAGTTGATCCTGTGTAACTCGATGAGAACTCAAGTGGCCGGGGTATGCGTGCTCGTGTCTTGCTACTCTCGAGCGCTTGCAGGGGTAGCCGGGACTGGCTCACGAGAACGCTCGCGCGCCACGGCTACTTTTGGGGGTACGCGATTGCGACAGCACAAAACTCTTCCCGTTAAAAAAAACAACAACAACAACAACAACAAAACCTCCGTCCGATATTAGGAATGCGCTGTAGCCGTGCACTTTTAAATCATCTGGGTTGGACACTTGATTTCTTTTAAGAGCTGTTTGTTTGTTTTTGCGCGTGAGTGCGTGCGTGTTTAGCTTGTTGTCCACCCCCCCCCGCCCGCACATCCGATTAGCGCGGTTGGCTATACGTGCGGTACGAAAGAAGTTCAACGTACGTACGTACCACTGCCCTGGCTATATACGGTCTATGAAACCCAGAGTAACTCACAGTTGCACGTGGACGTGGTTGCGTGCTGTGTATTTTGTTTTATTTTCATGAGCACCGTCACATGAACGTGGAATTTCCACCACAGAGCTACTGTGATGTTTATTTGTAGGGACCTACTGGCCACTGTTTATAAAAAAAAAAATATCCCACATACGAGCATTTCACCCCGCGTAATAGGCCCGTGATCTCGAAAGTGAAGCCCGGTTGGAGTCCTGGATAATGGCTGGATGCATAACAGGTGTTACAGGCTGCTCTTATGGGCAATAATAATAAGAGGGGAGCTTATTAAAAATCGATTGTTGTTCACGAATGTGCAAATGGCCCAGAGTGGTGAAGTATGGTCTAATAGCCCCCCCCCCCTCCCCGCTTCCCCATAAATCCAGCATTGGATTTAAATAACGACGAAATAAGTGTGCTGTATATATCTACACACATACACACAGATACAAACAACTCATTGTGAAACGTATCATTAATGATTATGTAGATATGTATAGGCTTAGACGATCGGCAGACTGAACGCCGTGTATATGGCACTCGTGCACGAGTATATTACATAAATCCATATATATAACCTTTGCATGTATTATAAATACAGAAAAGTCGTACATCTAATTGCAAACTACCGGCTATGATTTTGATTTAAAGCTTTCGTGACTGCAGTAATTCATATTCTTAGTTCTTTCAGCAAAGTCACGTTGAAGGGAAACAACAAAACAATAAAATATATACAAAATGATTATGATGGGTTATGATGTTAAGTCACGGCGCCTTATACGTATGCACGTGTTGCATTGTTTACATAGACACATTAACAATGTCCAGTGTTCAATCCACTGCTAGATGAAGATCCTGGACCACGACGTATCTATCGTGGGGATTGTCCGACCATACTTCACCACCCTGGTCAGTGCGGGTTTGTGAAGGAGGTTAAGTCACCTCGATAGCGTCGCTACAGAGGATCAATCGCCACTGATGTTAGCCGTGTTCGG